TTATCGGATTACTGTTTGAGCTTTATATCTCACTTCACAGAACAGAGTCAGTCAAGAAACAAGTATTACCCTATTGCACGTAAGGCACACAACATCAGTGGATTGTATTGTCTGTTCTTGCATGTTCTTGCCCAGTCAGATCCCAGTAGCATGTCCCCAATCAGCTTGCAATGTTTGATTAATCAGCCCAAACTACGTTAAGACAAAGTAGAAACGAATTCGAAACACTGGTTACTGTTTGAACTTTATATCTCAGGGCTCCACAGAACAGAAATACACATGAAACTACAGTAACCCAGTAGCACGTATGGTACATTTGAAACACTGCAGAAAGAGCACGGACCTAACAGAGGACAATAATCACGACGTGACCTCCAAACAGCGCGGACGTGAGAGAAGACAACAAGGGAATATGATTGGTTACACGCCTCTGTTGAGGTAGTGCACTACTTAATGTCCATTCAGCTTTTGAGATTTGAACGTTTACAATCTACTTCTGTTGAAGGATGAAGGTGAAGGGTATGAATAATGATGATAAACGCATAACGAATAATGTCCTTTGAACTACTGGTTAAAGTCAAGTCAGCGCGAATCTAGCTGTGGAGTAATGTTCAAAAGTAGACTGAATACAATATTCATATCAAGCATAATAAATTGAGTCAGTTGATGTTTCCTTGCAAAGATTTGCATAAGCAAAGAAATCAAATCGTAAATATAACGAGACAGATATAAACTTAGTGATCTGGTTTCATTCCGATGCATGGACTAGCATGGTCTCCATCTTGTATTACCTCTCCCCTGTTGCTGTAAGTGATAACAATCACAAAAAGCAAAATAATGTTTTAGGAAGCCAACAAAACTAACGTCAACAATAACGGTTATGCCTCTCTATATTTAATCAACTTTACAAGCATGTAAATGGTGATCCGAATCACAGAGCCGAATCTTGCCTAATGCTGTGATGCTGTGTTGTAAATCAAGTGAATTATCCGGAAAACATCTGTCTCTCTGATCAGTGAGCGGTTTCTAAAATGTTTGCGAAACTGTATATCGAAACAGTTACTTGTTGTAAAATACAGGGAAAATGAGACTTTAATTTGATAGTGTGTTGAGGTAGAGATACACTCAATCAGCATTCCAATGGGTTGTTGTAGCCTTATATGCGTCTGTCTGCCCAATACATTATACAACTACTCAAACCATTACATGTTCAACAATTCTTTCAAAGATAACGCCATTTGCTTATTGGTATTCGTGTTGAGGGTATATAGACAGTGTATTCATTGTGTTGTTGCCATAAGGATATTCGCAATCACTAATGATGTTTTATTACCTTCTGATATGTCAGGTACTTTCCAATTATTTAGATGCTGAAATTATATTTCTCTAATATAGTTGCATTTTGTCGTCTCTTGTTATTGAAACATACATTTCATCAGGTGTGGTGCCCTCAGGGACAGGCTGATTAACAAATAAATGATGTACAAGACAGTATTAATCTGCAGTTGATGAATGACTAATGTCATTGCTGCCAGAGTTGTATTACAGTTGTGTATGATTAGGGTACCATAGCCATATCTATCATTGCGATATAAAAATATTAAAACATCAGTGGAAAATAGCACCTTGTATTGACTATACTCACAACAGGTTTCATTTGGTGTAGATTGAAACTTATGGACTATTCAACATCAGTGATGACCAGGTGTTCGCCGAAGAGCATGTCCCGCCCAACCTGCAGCACCCACCATTCCCACAATTTACCTAAACAGTACATCCAGGAAGTGCTGGATCCAGTTCTTGTGACACATGTTCATAATCATTTGTAGCCTGACCATTCAAAATGTTTTGGACATTGATGCTCTTGAATGTGCAAGCACGCGCCAAGAGCGACTATAGGCTGATTTTTATTGTTTTACTTTTGTATTATCTTCTATTCAAACGCGGATTGGGTCCGGTTTGTAAACATCAGTAACTGTTATCTGCCAGTTTCCAACACTATTCTGGATTCAAGAACGAGCTTCTCCTAAGTCAAGCAGCAGTGAGTGATTGAGTTTAGTTTTACGGCACGTTTACCAATATTCAAGCAATATCACGGCCGGGGACACCAGAAATGGGCTCCACTGCAACAATGGCCAACAGTGCACTCATGTGGGGAATCAAATCCCGAGTCGTCATGACGTGCGAACACTTTAACTTCAACGCTACCCACCTCCTATAAAACAACAGTGACTTTCAACACTCTTAACATTCTTTGTGCAGTAACATTAATTTTTGTTACGTTTGGCTGCTACGTCTGGTTTTACCCAGTGTAATGCCTGGTTTGTTAGCAACCCTAAACAACATGTCTTTCATATGTTATTCTTATTTTCTATTTGTCGTGAGTAGTTAATTTCACAATATAGGTTCCGCGCAAACCTGGAAGGAGTAAAACAACTTATCATCGTTATTTTAAATATTATTCGTTTTCAGTAGTTGGTTTACTGGTGACAGAAAAGAACACCAGGTGTCATGACCAGCATAATTTTCAAATACACCGTGTGTTATGGGTAAACAAGCCACGAGACATCATGGCCGGACTAATCTTGTAGTACTTGACCTTTTCTTAAAACGCCCACGACCCTAACCGCTCCCCAACCCCCACAAAACTGAAATTCTATTCTCTTGTAATGTCTGTATGTGTTTCCGTTCTTTCAAATTCACTAATGCCATTGCATCCACATTGTAACCAATATAAATCCAGTTAGCAGAAGAGCCCTTCCCAATTTCTCAAGTTACAATTATTTCTCTTGCAAATAAAGGCGGAAAAAATCGTTTCTTATGCTTAAATATATGTGTCTAAAGCCGACTGAATTGCACAATTCCGACTATATCTTGAACACGTCTTTATGAATCACATGCAACGATAAATCTATTGTTCATCTGAAATATAAACACAAACAAAAACAAATTTAACCAGAAAACCAAACAAGCAATACAAAGTTTTTAAAAGCTTCTTCAGGCCCTGAAAGCCGTGACCTTGATCGAAGAACTGCTGAGCATGCGTCGGCTGACGGTCTCTGGAATCCAACCACTTTCCATATGTTCATTATCGATTCATACAATTATTATATACATTCCTTGCTTCCTGTCTAATGATTCCATATATAACGCTTTTAATTATTGGTATTGCCGAAGATATATATATACTGAATAGGTAACGGTTTCTTGGTAAATGTATAAGTGTGTAATCATAGTTGCAAACACATCCTTTTATAGTCCAAGTCAAACACTGCCGAGACATGATAGAAAATACATGAAATAAAATAACAGTTTAAATGTTGTGTGAAATATAAACGTAAGAGCCATAACTGCTGGGCACTGAACCAGGAACTTGGGCGTGACGACACCGCCGTCTCTCCCGAGATCACTGAATGTTGGCTATTGTAAGTTCTCTTTGAATCATTATATTCACACTGTTTCATTAATAACGGTAACATGTGAAAAGATTTGGTTACGCAGGTATCTACAGGTTATCAAGCTCCACATTGCGTTGGGTCTCCTGGCAAAATATAACGTTCTGTCTAATGACGTCTTAACATACATAATGTGTGTATATTCAAGTTATATCTACAGGAAACGTCTTGAAACATAATGCTAATAGTCAACGATGACGTCACCCTTTGTTCACGATGTCGTAAAAGCGGTATGTTGTTATAGGCGATGTCTGTTTGTGTGAGCGACAAGTCTTTACCAATGGACACCAGCATGACACCTCATGATGATTTCCAGGATCGTTGTCCAACTGCAGACGATAAAATCTCTCAGACATTAGGTCATATTGACATATCCAATTCTCATCAATAATAAAACGCAGAAAATTTGACAAATGGAGATTTAAAATGCGAAATAGTGGCAAGAGGTATTAATTTAAATGGATACAATTCATTTATCTGAATTGTATGCATATTGATTTAGTGAGAATTCATCAGATTACCAAAATATTTCTGTCAATTGATGCTTTTTGATCAAATTTAATCGTTATCTCCTTTTCAAAGACAATCATTTAATTGAATGGCCATTCATCTTTGTCCGTGTCAGTAGAGTACTAGCAACAGACATCAACGGGTTGTTCTCTGACATGGAAATCCGTCAACTATATTACATCTATTATAAAATTTGTTCCAAATCAGCATATGTTTTTTTTTTCAAAAGCCAATATATAACAGTAAACTTATCTTTAAAGTAATGCCCAAACTCGGTCTGGTTTGGCGACTTGTCTAATCGTATTCGCTTTCCTGGCCCAAGAGGCGAATGAGTAGTTAGGTGGATAAAGTGTTTGTTCATCTCTCGGGTTCGATTCCCAACACGGAAAACGTCCCAAGCTATGACATTGAAAGGAAGTTGCTAAACCGACATACAACCAAACATTCTGACTTACTCAAGAAGGTGGGATTGGTAGGGTTTAAGAGATAAAATTAGCTATTAACACGATTTCGGTAACCACTTTGCACTACTTACTCACCACGAATGTATGGCAACAATGTATGGAGAACTTGTTCACATTTCACTTTCAGTGATAATATGGTTGGTACAACAGATACACATGAATGAGTAAGTGAAGAGTATATCGCAGTGTACCAGCTCTAAGCAGGGGAAAGATAAAGGCAAGCGGGTCTTTACCCTTGAGGTGAAAGAAACATTGCGGTGGTGGTGCTGCCAAGCCAAGAACCGGTACCATGGAGGACTGATGGAGGACTGTCGGTACCATGGAGGACTGATGGAGGACTGTCGGTACCATGGGGACTGATGAAGGACTGTCGGTACCATGGAGGACTGATGGAGGACTGTTGGTACCATGGAGGACCGATGGAGGACTGTCGGTACCATGGAGACTGATGGAGGACTGTTGGTACCATGGAGGACTGATGGAGGACTGTCGGTACCATGGGGGACTGCAAGATGACTGCTGAATGACAGAAGGAGGACTGTCGGTACCATGGAGGACTGAAGGAGGGCGGTCAGTACCATTGAGGACTGATGGAGGACTGATGGAGGACTGTCAGTACCATGGAGGACTGATGGAGGACTGTCGGTACCATGGAGGACTGATGGAGGACTGATGGAGGACTGTCAGTACCATGGAGGACTGATGGAGGACTGTCGGTACCACGGAGGACTGATGGAGGACTGTCGGTAGCATGGAGGACTGATGGAGGAGGACTGTTGTTATCATTGAGGACTGATGGAGGACTGTCAGTACCATGGAGGACTGATGGCGGACTGATGGAGGAGGACTGTCGGTGCCATGGAAGACTGATGGAGGACTGATGGAGGACTGTTGGTATCATGGAGGACTGATAGAGGAGGACTGTCGGTACCATGGAAGACTGACGGAGGACTGATGGAGGACTGATGGAGGAGGACTGTCGGTACCATGGAGGATTGATGATATTTGATATCATGAGTAGAACTGCATTTAACGCTTAAATAATTACAAAACGAGCAACCGTCATATTCAAAGCAACGGGTTATTGAGAAGTAGATTTCTTTCACTCACAAACCTCCGTAAGAATTTGTGGATGTAAAACGTGGATAATGTGTTGAAAGATTTTCAATAACTCGGTTATTGAATGCTTTTCGTTCAAGAAATATTATTAGGTAATATATATGATTTCAAACGTTTGCCAGGAAAGGTCAAATATTCATTCGCACGTCATTACCAGTTTAATCAGTCTTAGAAAGTGAAGATTCTGGAAAGACAATATTGATGAGATTTCATTTGGCCGCTCTTGTGTAAAAATGACCACAGAAATGCTTGATTTAGTTGTTTTGAAGCGTGACAACGAAAGGCCCACAGGCAACGTCCACAGGAACAACATACTCTACTCATGACGACTATCAACAGATTACCGCATCAGAAGTCGTCGGAACGTTGGACACTTGAGAAGAATGTTCTTTACTAATGAGTTACGCTTCATGCACTATTATCAATCCGATGACAGAGCACGTAGTGTCAACAGGCATTTATGTAAATGCTACTTCACGCAATACGATCTTGAAGGCGATCGTTTTTGGGGTTGTTGCGTTACGACCTGGGGTAGACCCAGTGAATGTGATTGATGATAAGTTGAATTTTGTGAGACACCATGATGAGATTTCAACATCTGATGTTTTACAATGTTCACAAGAGAACGTCCATGGAGTGACACTACAGCACAATAACGTCAGGTCACATGTTGAGAGTAACGGAGACCTTAGAACAATGTGTAAGCGCTAAGCTAATCTGCAAGATCACCAAACCACAGCGTTGCTAGAAGTCCGGCTTATCCTTCCTCAGATTCAGAACATCCTCCCGATGTCTCGTCAGTGGATCTCTGAACCCATCCGTAAGATCTGACTTCTTCGCATTTGCTACTTTTGTTTCAAACGCTTCTCTTGACTATATCCATTGAACATATTCTAAAAGCAGGTACGCTGTTATTCCAAGTAATCTAACAAACTTGTTGCCCTTCCATTCGTCAGTAATTTTCTCAGTCACATCACGTGTCCCCCCCTCAATGGTTACCAACGTAAACGTCATACCCAGCACGTGAAATCGGTGTCGGCGCCCTCAACTAGCACGTGCTGCATGCGGAATTCAAATCTCGGCCCTGAGTTGGTACATCAGACTTCGTTTATATTCACAGAAGACAATCAACTGCAATAAGCCACATGGCTGGGAGCGAGCTCACCATGTGTTTGGAAGCCTCCTTTTGGTGGGTTATTAAACAGATTGAAGGAAGACATACAAGTCCTGACTTTATATACTCCCCTCTGTTCATTGTGTATATATTCGGAACATTAAGCCGAATTATACAGCTCATAAATACTGTTGTAGTAATGTACATTGTAGTTTAAAGACAACGTCAGAGCAGGTAATATCAATAAACACAGCATTTTTGAAAACCATAGATCTGTTCCACGAAGAGATCGTGGAGCTAAGGTCATTGCAACTCCCATATTTTTAAATGGGTTCACTGCTACCGTTGAGCCGTAATCACTTTGTGGACACCTATGCCATTGTAAAAAGAACCTGTCATAAGATCATGCTACCTGACAACAGACAACAACAAACGATGCCAACAATCAGAACCAAACAACGACAACAACAGGAAACAAAACTGATATCGGTCGATGTCATTAAGGACAGTGACAACACATTTTCCCAACCAACGTAAACGCCCGCCGTGTACGAGCTCACTGAAGCACTGAAACAACTCACACAGTGTCCCGACAGATGGTTCAAAGATCATCCAGATTTTTTGTTAGAATTAGAACATTCATGATTGCATGTAATCATTTAATATCTGAAATTACCTTTTCACTCTTTGATCATTGAAAATACCATTTCTGAATATCGCATGGACAGATTTGATTGCTTTGAACCGACAAAACTGGTAAACACGTGCACAGTCAATAAGTCAAGGAAATCACTCTAGAAATATTGTTAATTACTTCGAGAAACTGTTATAGAGTGTTTCAATTCGATTCGCAAGTTTATTCCAAACAGAGATTAGTCGTGCTAGTTGAGGCAGCGTTATGGTAGTCTGCCTGCTGCAGGCATATTATGTCGCCTTGGCTATATTGCTAGCGTATTTACCGTATTGATTAGATCTTTTTGATTAGTTCACAGTCATACAAACGTTGCGAGTAGGGAGGGGTATGTGGGCGGTTGAGGGTGGCTTGACGTGAAGGGATGGGGGTGGGGAGTCTTTTTACAACTGTACACATGTCAACAAGAAAGAGCGTGTTTATATTAAATTGTGTTACATGGTTAGGTTATTAATGATGCTTTATGCTCGTATGTTGCTGTGGCAGTTTTATCGTAATATCTCTTCACTTGACTGTAATCCTCATCAAATGCTAAATGTTGGAAAGTAATATTAACATTCAAACATGATATTTAATGTAGTCTGATTGAACATCCGATCTCTTCACTCTTAAAGTATGGCATACAAGTGCATTCTATATTACCATTCTATACCGGTGAAGGTCCGGGTTGGAATATTGATCACCAGTAACCCATGCTTGTCGTAACAGGCGACTAACGGGATCAGGTGGTCAGGCTCGCTGACTTGGTTGACACATGTCATCGGTTCCCAATTGCGCAGATCGATGCTCATGATCACTGAATTGTCTGGCCCAGACTCGTTTATATACAGACCGCCACCATGTAGCTGGGACATTGCTGAGTGCGGCTAAACTAAAACTAAACTCACTCACTCACTATTTACATTCGATCTCATCACACGCCCAACATGCGACACACGCGTGTAAATACACTGGTGGTAGGTCTTCACCACTTTTGAAAACGTTCGTTATATTTATGTTAGCTGTTTTAAAGCTGCAATCAGAATTCGTCAGCATAAATGTAATTCGGCTGGTCGGAGATTTGTCCACTTTCGTAGATATTTATTATATCGTTAAAGCAAAGGAACTTTCGGAGGTCGAGTATGACTTAATCAATCAGCTCCATGTTGTATCCGAGTGTTTGCAATTTATCAATTATCAAACTTCTAAACACAGTGTAAAGTTTGTTGAAGTCATCATGACAGGATCCTGCTCCTAGCGTGTTCAATGTAAGTAAGACATGAACACCAAATGCTGGATATGTGACCAGTTTAGAATTTGCTATGGACATATGTTTGTTCAGTAAATGTTTTAATGAAATTACATTTTTCATATTACGATCTGATAACATTTTATTGATATTCCATATCTGACATCTAACCCATTCATCCGCTGTAAACTTTATGCTGAGGCACAATTAAATGAAAGCACTCCACCACAGAAGATGCTATTAAAGTCCGGGATGCGATGGCGTCAGCGATGTCACGTTTGTGCAACTTCATTTCGTAAAGTGTTTGTGCTATATTTTCATACCATATCTTGGTTTCAAGCTCCTACATCCAATAGGAATAAATGTGGGTATTGCATAATCACCTTAAACCGCATATTATAGAGAAAACCTTCAGTGGAATTTCAAACTTCTTAGCAAATAGTTCAAGGACCAGAACAGCACACTGAGTCCGATATTTTCGTTGATGTTACTAGGGGAAGGAATAATGCTAAAAGCGGCGTAAATCCCAACTCACTCACTCATAATAATGGGTGGTATCAAGTATAATATCAATGTAGAACGTTGGTACCAGACTTTGGGACATTGTGAAGCACTGGCGACTATTTCTGGATTTACTACTATCCCACACAAGAAACGTATGGAAAAAAACGCCACCCCCGATTCACGGGGCATTTGTAAATAAGCATGGTGAACAGGATATACCTACATATCTATCTTCGGACGTCCAGGGCAATTTGTCCAGAAATGAAAACAAATATGATTTGATTTTACTGAGAAAACAACATATGAAATGTTGGACTTCATCATTGGTAACATATGTGTAAAATTTTGACGTACAACATTTAGGCGAGGAGAAGGTCTCCCCGTCGGCACCAGTTGTGCTCCCCTCTTTGTGGATCTGTTTTATTGCACATCAGACATTCTGCTCGGGCTGGCAAAATCAAACACGGTAAACTGGCTAAGACTTAAAGAGTTTCACTTTAGATTCAGGTACATCGATGATCGAACATTGTTCAAAAACCATCAAATAGCCAATTCCCTTTCACTGATTTATTCCCCTGAACTTAATATAAAGGAGCACGCCTCATGTATTTCATAATTAGATCCATGCTTAATTGTTCAGAATGATCAAAAACTCTTCTCAAAGCTTGATTTGAGGTACAGTCGAGCATGGTCTTCTACCAAGATTTTAAAGAGGGTCATACCACTCACGCTCAGAAGTTGCTCAATCGAGGTTACAGCATTCAAGGCCTCAGTAAAGTTTTGAAACTGTTTTATGTTAGACGTGTTGAGCACGTTTGAAAATTTGATGCATCAGTAACTATGATGATGTCCAATGCAGTTCCTTATTTTGACTTGTGTCATACGTTCCCCTGTTTTCCCCAGTGAACGACTTGCTAGTCTTTGCATGCGTTTAAAACGGGTGCTACCGGTGGGGATACGTTAACCATTTCGTCCGGTATCATCACTGTTCGAGAGTGATTCAGAAATATAACTTTGTCATCGTATCTCTTGATTTCATTCACCGGATTGTCTGGTCCAGACTCGATTATATACAGATCGCTGCTATTGAGTGTGACGTTGCCCATACAATATAATTGTTTAATCTCCATTGGTAATAGATTTTGTGATGGATGTGGACAGGGTTTTGTCCTTTCTACTGTCTACTTCGTGTTTGTCACTGTTCGGGCAGAATATGTATTGTTCGTAAAGGTGTCATAACTATTCATGAATATATGTATATATCAACACGAGAATAACCAGTATCAAATATTAGACGAAATGGACACTGTTGGACGTTAGAGGCAAAATAGTGGTAAAACACGTATGAATGGATAGCTG